GAACCGGGGCCCTCTGGCATCCCAAGCGAGTTCTTAACCATCGCGCCACTCGGCCGGCCCCCCATCATTTTTCTTAATACTATTTACTACCTTCTAATATACTGTATAAGTTACTTATTTACTTTGTTTATGGTCTGTCTTTCCCCATTAAAATATAAACTCCACGAGGGCAGGAATTTTTTTGGTTTTTCTATTTACAATTGTGTCCCACCACCTAGAACAGTAGATGCTCAGTAAAACGTGTGTAGAATGAGTGTTGCATAAACTCACCAGTCTCGCCCAGGTCCGTGCTCTGGAGAAATGTACGGCAGCGCTCCTTGTGCTCCTCAAGTGAACTTCTCTGCTTGTAACTCCTTCCACAAAACTCACATTTATAGGGTTTCTCAACTATAAGGAGAGCATAGGCGGCCATCAGTCAGTGACCCTCAGGGGTTACAGAACAAATGGCGTATGGGGCTCTGTGAAAACTGTCCACTAGGTATGAGACTGCTGAGGGAAGCCAGAGAATGTGGATACTTCTGCATCCTTTACTTTTAAATTTAGTAAACTGAAATAAGGTTATGGGCTATGGATTATATTATTCTTCGAAAGGATAGTCTCCTTTCCCAAATGAAAGGATCTGGATTTAATGATTATCGTTGAGCACAGTGGTTTGGCGCCAGATCCAATCCTGTTTCTTTAGGGAACAACACGGGGCCTTTTCATTCTTCAAGGAGGTTAGTGTGGTTTAAGGAAGAAATAGGAAGGGCTCGCTTATTTTGTGACATCCATCTGACTGTAAGTAACTGCTGCACTTTGTGGGAGTTTGCCATTCAGCTAGAAACTGGTGGTCTTTTAGAGCATCGACATATTTGGGTAAATTTAGCTTATCCTTGCCAGGTGGCTATAGGAAAGTCTGAGCTAAATCGATAAAAATGGAACTAACAAAATGAGGATATTTTTGAATAATAGAAATAAGAATGAATTGCAAAAATGACTTCATCTTAATTTCTAAGATAAAGCAAAAGTTTCCTCAAAAGTTCATCCATACAATTCAGGCTGTCTTTGTCCTCCCAACTCCTCTAAATGCTTTATTGCTTAAAATAGATAAACAATAACTTCAACTCTGTGTGCAGGGCTGGCCTTTCTGATTTGTTCATAAAATGTACCCCATGAATTTGTCAGAGTTTTAGGGACTGAGATTTTTATTTTCTAACCCTCCTGCTCTGTTTATAATAGAACCTTTGGGACTTAAAACACTAAAATATCCTCATGGATTAAAATAAATGCAGGTTTGCTAGAGCTAAAAATGTTAAGTTTCTGTAAAAATTGGTGCCCTTCTAGAATCTGTCTTAAAAATGAATACTACTGTTGGATCTTACTTGAAAAAGGCAACACAAGAGAACTGAAAACTATTGTAATTTTTTTGACCAAACTCAGCCTTAATTCATTACTTTGAATAAGGAGCTGTAAATAAAACCCTTCTTTTGCCACTTATGGTGTCTCATGGTGGGTGTTGTTGGGGTTGGCTTGTTTAAATTAATCCTTAGTCTCTGAATTGTGACCAGTTGCGGATTTGGGTTGGGTTTTAGTCAAAGCAGTATGTGGATTGACATAAAAACAAACTTTTTTTTTTTGTCTTCAATTAAAATTTTGTCAGATAACATCAAGAACATGAGGTCCCAAATTTGAAAAATAAACTTAGTTTTACTTTTCTAGGAGGGAAATTCTAAATGTTGAAAACAATTTTTATCTTGCTTGGTTAAAATAAGAAGCGAAAACATGAAGACAGAACATTGCTTTTTATGCATTCTTATTGCTGCTCATCTTTTAGAGATTAAAAATAAACAGGCTGGTCTAGAAAAAAGTCAGGTTTAAGAAATTTAGCCCATGTACACCTAAAATTAATACAATGTTCTATTGTCACATACCTCAACAACAAAAAAGTTTAGCCCAGAATGGCCCCAACCCCCAAAATTTAGCCCTGAATAGCCAAAAGTAACCCCATAAGAATGATTTATATACCTAGCTTACAGTTTTACATAATTTACAAATTGTACAACATGGGCTTGTCCGGACTTTTGAATGAAGTGTGTGTGTTTTTAAGGAAAATAATCTTTTAATAAAGTTTACCATAAGAAAATACAATGGCTATAATTTTTTTGCAAAAATTAAGAAGCCATTTTTATAGGGCAGGCTCTTCCTGTCTGACTGTGTTGTTCTCTAGGGGAGTGAGGATGATAAGGAGATGATCATCCCCATTGAGCCAGACGGAGAGCAATTAATGCCTTAATGGAAGTGTAATTAGCCCTAGAGGTCTCTGCTGTTGTAACCCTTCAGAACAGAAATGACAGATGAAAACCTCGGTACTTAACTCTTTCTAGTTTCAGCAATGGGCCCTGAGGAGCACACACTGACGCGACGTGGATGCTCACTGCTCTCACTTACCAGAATGGGTTCTAAGATGACCTGTGAGTGCATCTCTTCTCTGGCATGCGTAGTTGCAGAGATGACACTTAAAAGGTTTTTCCCCTGTGTGCAGTTTAATGTGGCGGAGGAGGTTACCTTTCTGAGTAAAAGATGCCCCACACTGATTACACTGGAATGGGCGTTCACCTTTAAAAAGGACAAAAGGAGATTTCTGATCACTTGCAAGTGGCGAAGCATATGCACAGATTAGACGCCTATGGCAAAAGCTCATCTTTTAGCCGGTCTCTGTTCCTACTAGGATCATCTGAGAGCTGTATTTCAAGGCAAGCATAAGACTTCCTTATGGAAACTTCCCTCTAGGAGAGAAAAAGCATTCACCTAGCAAGGCTCTTTTAGGTATCATCTTGTCCTGCATCAGAGCAAAAACACAAGAGTAGCTCTAGATGTAAAATTTTACATTACTTACCATTCCTTTTAAATATAATCTAATCTGAAAAAAGAGCCACAGACTCAAATCCTAATAAGCTCTTGAGGGCCAGAAATTCTTTTTTAAAAAGGATTGATAACAGATAACCAGATGGAATCTATTGGTCTCAGTAGGACTGCTGTATTTGTTGTATTTCTATAGACTGCCTGTTTATTGTCTGAAGATAGATTTTTTAAAAATTGGTAATAAAAACTGTATCCTTTCATCTACCAAATTGAAACTAATACAATAAGATCTGCTTTTTTATACAAGTTATGCAAAATTATATGAAAGACGCTTAAGAAGCATATCACACAATTCAACTTCTACTTATCAACTGAAGAAAAAACATTTGGCTGACCTAGAACACTGCTCTCTACAGTCCTTTTTTTTATTCGTAGCATTTACAATATGTTTGCCGAATGCATGGTGAAGCAGGAATGAAAATTACTGGGTAAATGGAAATACAGAGAGGGAGAGATACATCAGAATTACAGCAAAAATCAGTGAAAGTAATCAAAAGTCATCCCACATTCCACCACTTCATTTTTCACATGGCTGCATTACGATGGTTTTCAGAAGAATGGATAAAGGAGACTATTTACCAGTATGGCTCCGCTTATGAACCATTAAGACGTTGAAGCTAATACAGGATAATCCACACACATCGCAATTCATCTTGCCACTGGTCGGCCTGCTACTGTCATACGGGACAACATGTCTCTCCAACTTAATGTTTTCATATTCATTGTAGTCTCTTGAATAGCTGTAAGGAATTTCAGGCTCTTCTATATTTCCCATGGGCTCTGGCTTGAACACATTCTCATCCCTCTCATTGTATTCATCTTTCACTTTCATCGAATCATCTGCAGGGAGGAAAATGCAAGAAATGAACAATGATTGTATTTGGAGTTATCAAAGCAGCTCTAAAAGCAGAGACCCACAACTGACAATTAAATACCAAATGAAGCTAACGTAATATTGTAGATTTATAAAACAAGAAAACACCATTCAGATGATCACTCATTATTTGAATTCAGAACCACAGTCAGGGGAAAACACACACACACACACACACACACACACACACACACACGTGCGCAACAGTGTTTTAGGCCATCCAGAAAATTAGAAATAATAGATTTTAGCTAGGACTGCTCAAAGCGACCATGAAAAAAACATTTTGAGCAACTCTTCCCCAATACTGGGGAGAAGAAAGGTTTTCAGATCTAGCCACCCTTTTTGGTGACTGCAATGAAAAGGCAAGGTGATGTACTCTTTGGTTTCAAGAAGCAACTTCAATTCTTTCAATGCATCCCCTTTAAACTAAGGTTGAGAGTTAAATAGTTACTACGGTTTTTTGGATTTTAAGCCATGCTTTGCCTCTTTCCCTTCCATGTATATAAACTGCTAAAATGAGTCTTATCTATCTCTCTTGGAACTGATAAAGAGACAACACTGAAAGTAGAGGAAGCTGGCAGTACTAGTGAAATACTGTTGAGAAAGATAAAAGGAGAAGTAATTCTTTAACATAACCTTCTAAGGAGTCACTTTCATTGACACAGGTAAATGGAGCTCAACCTAAGCAAGGGGAAGGGCCCCTATACCCAAGTCAGGGAGGGCTAAACTCAAGATCCTAGAATTGAAGGACTGGATAGGGAGGAAGGACTGGTCCAAGTGAGTTGGCTGGCCAGGTACTATCTTAAAAAGAGCTGCAATACTCTTAGCTGAAGAACATAAGAAATAAAGAAGGCAAATTTATATACTGATGCAAACAAAACCTAAATATTTGTCTGATGTGATAATAATAAACACTTTAAAGGGACTTTGCATACATAAAATATGCTGCATCAATGCTTACTTTTTCAAACGTTTGTTCTTAGAAATTGGAAGTTGTCCTTCCCCATGAGGAACTGTCAATCAATGGAATTTTAAGGCTAGAAGGGAATTTAGAGATCACCTAATCCAACCCTCTTGTTTTTCAGATAAGGAAATCTAGGAACATAGATGTTTTTGGTGATTGTCCAAGGTTACACAGCCAGTTAATAGCAGATGTAATTAGAATGCTGAACTTGGCTTTGACCTCACACACCAGACACATAAAGTGTAAGTGGCGTCTTACTAATGTATTCTACAGTCTCCCATCAATGGTGTCGACGTTAAAAACCAAAACAGTGAAAAAAAGATATTTGAAAAAACTACATGTCTTCAAAATCACCAGTAAGTGCAGCTCCTGTTGCCACATAGGAGGAAGTACAACTGCAGCTGTGCCTGGCTTGCTACCTTCAACCAAGTTTCAATTTTCACTTCTATCAAGGTTACCTTTCATCTATATTAACTGTGTTTGCTTAATAGAGCAAGACAGGGCCTAACCACCAACAGAGGAGCCATTGCTGCAACACTGTTTCACCGCTTCTCACCACGGTTCATGGTTCACAACCTTTCACTCTTTGATTAGAAGAGATGTAGGGCTGTAGGATAAGTCTGACATGTTCCAAATTTGCCCACCCTATCCATCTGGGTTACATACGAATTGATATCCATTTCCTATATGGAAAGAGGTTCATTCCCTTCTTTCTTTGGACAGGTCTTGCCTGCTTTCAGATGGAATTTGCTTAAGTGGTTTTTATTTAAAAAAAAATTTTTTTTTTTTTTGAGAAGGATGCACCTGAGGCATGTACCCTCCTCCCTTCCTCCATCACTCCAGCTGTGGGTGATATCCCACCAAAGCTTGAGTGCTCTTCAGTTTGCATGTAGGCGTTTAAAAGAAGCTCAACGGAAAACTTCAGCTACTAAAAGCCAAAAACAGCAGATAGAAAGGGCCAGCAGAAAAGGATCCTTTGAATTTTGGTTATAAAATGTTGATATGACCAGACCCAGGCCATTCAATGGTCAGTGACAATTAAAAAATAGTAATATCATTGTGTTGGGTCTTTCTGAAAACACAGGACATAAGAGAGTTGCTCCTTCCCTCAGGATTTTGGCTTTAATGAGCTTGACCTAGAACTCAATACTACGCTGACCAGGCTCAAGATAAAAATCTTGGCATTTGTCCTTTAGGATTTAGCTGTAGAACAAGGAAGACAGTATTTGACACGAAGGGCCCTAAGGGAAAGTGTAAGAGTCACATGGACAGGACATTAGGCAAGTTCCTTGGACTTACTGGACCAAAAGAGTTCCTGGTATAGTTGTTGGTTTGCCTTTAGAGTCTTAAACCAGTTTTAGATAAAAGGCCGGAGGGCCTCTCTGCATGGTTACTGAGGATCAACAATTCATTATGGTTTACCATGTGAACAGAGTTGAATATCAGAATACATCAGTATCTGGGATACGAAAGGGATTCCTGAGAAATTAATGGGCTTAGCACCCAGCCTCCAAATATAGTCTGCCAAAACTACCAGGAAAGACACTAGTCTGCTCTAAGGAAGAGGTTCATTCCATCTCTTGGGAGGTAGATTCACTGGAGCAGAGGGAAGGGGGGCATTCTATAGTATCCCTTGAAAATATTAATAGACATGTCTAAAATCAAACTTGTCATCTTTGGACCTAAACCTCCTTCTAATATATGATATCTTTATATTTACAAATGGCATCTTCCTTTTTCCAGTCTCCATGTCTTGAAACTGGAATTCTTTTCCTTTTAATCTCTACATCAAGTCAGTCTCCAGGACATAAAGATCTTACATTCTCAGGTTCTCTGGATGCCAACTCCTCTTTTACATCCCCTTTGAAATTTAGTTTAGCCTCTCATCCCATCATACCTACACCCATCCTCTCTGAGTATCCCTTTCCAGACAGATTTACTACAAAAGTAATCTTACTGCCCCTACATCCTCAAAACTGATGTAAAAATCCCTGTCATCAGGCTTCAGCCTCCACAATTTACTGAATCTGCTCTCCTGATGATTAATAATCTCCTGAATCCTAAATCCAATGGCCTTTTGTGTGCTCTTCTCTCCAACTTCTCTGTAGCTCTTTACACTATTGATCATTCCTTGTCCTTCTACACTCCTATTTCTTCAATGAAACTGTACCTTCTTCCCTTACCTTTCTGACTGCTTCTTTCTAGCTCCTCCCTCTGCCTCCTAAATACTGTCCTTAACCCTTTTTCCTTCCCTCTACAACCCCCTCTGGCAATTTCATCCACTCTTCAGGCTTTAGCTAGCATTTTATTTGATTAATCCCCAAATACATGTCTCCAGGAGCAATGTCTTCCCTTCTTCAGTCCTCTATTCCCAAAGGCCTTCTGGGTAACTTCTTAGTTACTGAGACTAGAATATTTATAATCCTCTTGCCTTCCTCTTTTTTGCACCCCACATTTAATTACCCATTAGTTCTATTTTTGTACCCTCTCTCCAGTCTGCTCTCCTCCCCACTATTTTGCTCGCCCATTATCTTAAATCTCAGACCCTGATACACTCCCCATGATATTGTGTAGCCTCCATGTTGTTCTCCCTGCTTCCTTTCTCTCTCCTTCCCAGTTCATCCTAAGTACCGACCCCAGATTGTTCTTCCTAAATGACAGCTCTGGTCATATCATGGCCTTGTCAAAATTCTTCAGTGTTCTCCACTGCCAACAAAATAAAATCCAAACTCAAAAACAAAGACTTTAAAAGGCCTTTCAATATCTGGCCCCAACCTATCTTTCTAATGTTGATTTGGATTACTCAGATATCTTTAACCAAACAACTTCTCAGTATTCTTGATTTTATTATTTCCACTGCCTAAAAGGTCTTCCCCCAACATTGCCACAGGTCCAAATTCTACACATCTCTTAAGGCCAAACTAATATGCCATTTCCTCCAAGTATGCCTTCCCTGGTTCCCCCAGCTGCAAAATAATCTATTCCTTCTTTCTCTGAGTTACTAATAAACTCGTCTCATCTTCTGTATGGCCATGGAAACTATGTGAGGTCAGAAGGTTCACAGGTGTTTTTTGTTTGTTTGTTTGTTTTAACTCTGTATCCCCCTATAACACTGCTTAGCCAGTATATGTAAGAGCAGAGGTTATGTGGTTTTAAAACAGAAATTTGGGGGGAGTCTCACCATAGACCTACTAATCTGGGTGTGGGAACTGGAACTATGTATTAAAAACATGCTCTCTAGAACTGCTGCTCTAGAGTTTGACACAATGCTCTACATAAAGTACATATACAATAAATACTCAGTACATGAATATACCACTGCATTAGCCTCCTAACTAGCCCACAGGGTATGTGACCTCCATTTTATATTGTATGCAATAACTAGATTCATTATTCTGTTGCACTAATACTCCTGCTCAGAAACTTTCAATGATTTCTTTTTGCTTACAGTAAAGTCCAAACTCCTTAGTGCCACATTCAAGCGCCTGCCCAGAACCTGCCCCAAGCATAACGATCATCTCATTTTTCACTAGTCTCCTTGAATCATCCTTTTTTTTAGACTAGAATCTTGCTACGCAAAGTGAGGTCCTTGGATCAGCAGTTCCAGCATCCCTTGGGAGCTTGTTAGAAATGCAGACTCTCAGGCCTCACGCTAGACCTACTGGATTAGAATTAGCATTTTAACAAGAGCCTCAAGGATTCTTAAGCACATTAAAGTTTGAGAAGCACTGTAGCAATCTGACTAATCGCAGTTTTCCAAGCCTCCTCTCCAGTCTTTCCCACACCTAAAATGCCCTTTCCCTACATCAGCATTCTATTCAAACCCCCAGAAGCTCTTTAAAAGCCTTTTTTTCCATGCAGTCTTCCTTGATACCCTAGACGAGAAAAAACTCTCCTGTTTCAGTGCTCTCTCATATATCTACCTCATTCTACTTTATATTTAGCATGATGTTATTAACCTCTACAGATTCACCTTAATATAGTGGATGTGTTCATAAAATG